CATCTTTAGAAGTTCCCACAGCTCTAGAAGGGGAGTCTATGGTAGAATAGTGATAGAATGTTTAGGAGTTAGAAAAGACTAAAACTCATTCTGAAAAAGCTATAAATTGAATCCACTACACAGATAAAATTGAAATAATTTAAGTTCAAAATCAAAATGTCAAGGCTTGGTATTATTCTTACTGAATAAGACCCCTGTATATTCGTCATATAATAACACAGAACTTCAACTGTTTTGATCAGTTTACAGATAACGAGATGGCATACTACCGAAACAAAACCACACGCAGTAAGTATTGTCCTATCTTATTGAAATACTTTTTTGTTTCAGTCCTGGATCAACGCTACGGTGATGTAATGTATGCCATTGTTGGTAAGTGCGAAAAGCCATATAATTTAAACACAATCAAAATTTACGAATGAACAGTATTATTTCTTTATATCAGCAAAGTAATGAATAGTTTGAAAACTACATAATAACAAAGTCACGACTTCCGCTTTCTTGAGACATTTTGATGTATGGACGAATTGATTCGAGATCACATGGAAATCTGAAGTGAACTTAACTAAGACTTACTCCTGTGGTTGTTCATTATCTAGTATTTTGGGAGCTACTGTGCATATCATCGCTCTTTGATGACAGTGAAGTTAGAATCCAGCCACACAACTGATGGATAAGTGCCAAGCCACTTTGTGGTGTACCATGAACACAACGGAACACACTCGACTAAACGTAGGATTTAGACAAACTTCACAAACGAGGTTAAGAGAGCAACATTCAACCATTACTGCTATATAGAAACATCTGGAGCGTATTCCCAATATGGTTTTTAAAGTAGAATTATGTGGATTTAGTATCAGACAGTATATACTAAATTTTGATTCACTCTCGAGAACTTAAGTCATAGTTGATGTACAAACGCAGTGAATTGACAAAAATGAGTCCATTACTGCAGATTTGATTTTCAATACGTTAGGAAGCATGTACACTCTTTTGAAGGGATATCCGCATAAATAAAGCGACAACCTCATTAATATAGAGTTGAGGTGCACTCACACCAACTCGATCTAGATTGAAAAATTATCTGAAACCTAATCAACATACCTCGATCTCGAAGCATAGATGGTCTTGACTGTCGAACACTCAGAGCATAGCTGGTAATTCGTGGTCCGGCTTACCTGTGTGCAAGGCTATCGAGCCATGGGTACCCTGTGAGATGCTAACCTACAAATCAATCGTTTCGTACCAGTTATCTCTAGGACTTACCAGTCGGTAAGTTATGTACTAGTTGTGTAGGATTAAAACCACTGACAATCCCTGAGTGTCAGCCTGCAGTACTTCTGATTACCTTAGAGTTAACTTGACGTTTATTAAACCCACTAATAGTTAATAGGCGAGGCCCATATAATCCAATATGACGGACTAACTTTTGGGATGCTGGCTCTGAAGATGTCCATGTTTTACAGAAAGCCCTAGAATAAAGACCTCTACGTAGTCCTAGTAACTAACACGCTCTTCCTGAAATACCTACTCGATGTTCGACTCATCAGGTAGTCACAGACTAAACTAATCTTGCGGTCCAAACGAACATTACAAACTGAAGCAGAACTCTCTCCATCATCTCTAACCGGGACCGACGATAGTTTATTTGAGCACACCGTCTATTTCGTCGCTTATCAGGTCTGACAGTACAACAGAAGTGATATACGTAGGATTATTCAGCACTTGAAATGACCGCATCCATGTTTAGTGGGAACAAAACGCGTCAGAAATAAAAATGTCTTGATGTAACGTAACATGTGTGCCACTGCAACTAATATTTGGTTTAATCCTAAAGCATTTCTACAGCCAGTTTAATATGCTACTTGTCCACCTAATATTGGTTATAAGAACCTATTTTGCAAATGTGCTCTCGTCCTTCTAATTAATAATCATTATCAATGGAGTTGCTGACCGTCCGAAACTAAGTACATAGCTTCGGAGCAGTGGAAGACATTGCTCTATAGACTCCAATCATCCCTTTGGATTTTACCACTCGTCAAACTCCCTGGTGAGTTGGAACATTAAAAGGGACCTGATAATTGTGAGCATTATCCACCCACTGGCGTAGAAACGTCTATTACTAGTACGGCACTATCCTGGCGCAATTGTGAGTAGCAAAACTTACTGTGACTATCTGGTAAAATGGAATGAATGCGACCATGCCCTTGAAAGTACATTTTAATGGTCGGTACCACCGTCTATCTTTGCAAATAATGCTTGTGACTTAAGGAAATATTAGTGCAATCCGCACAGAATTCACATATACCAGTAAGAGGCTGATCAATTGCAGTCCTAAGCATCAACAGTAAGACTCAAACAACCAATACAAGGTGAACTTAACCTCACCGCATTGCAAAACCGAGTGACTATCTGAACTCAATAGCAAAATGGACGACGCGATGACGTTCAAAGCGAACTGCACTGGGTCTGAGGCATGGAGTGAACATTAGCCCTGGGATGCAGGTGTACCCAAGCGCAGAGCCTGAAGTAGGACGAAGAAACCCACTGCTGACTACCATCTATCTCTGCCTATAACTATACACAAGTTTGAAAGTAATAAACTAAGATGGCTCTCCTAGAATAACTGGATGGAACAGAAACCCACGTGTACTCACCAAAACCACGTCAGCCGCATCTGGCGAGTGATGCGATTGTGTGGGGACGGTTTTTGGAACGCTCAAGTCATTCGGTTTTCAACTCAATCTAAAGAAAAGACATGACGCTATACGGGATTTGTCAACACACAAGAATTTAGTTGGACCACAGTAACTAAGCCTCACCTAAAAATGTGCCAATTATTCGCTGTTTTACTTTGACACATTTTATTAGAAAAATGGGATGTGACCACGACATTCAAACAGTCATAGAAATAATTACCACTTATTTAACTAGATAAATCTTCAGCCAATTCTATTTATAAAACTTTTAGATGCGGAAACCACGATTATGCATCATCTTCAAGATCGCTTACTAATTCACACACAGAGCATACTTCAGGCATCCCAATTTGTTGCGGAGATAGATTGGTAAGTTGCTAATTAAATAGTACACAAGAAAAAAATACTTTGTTTATATACATGATTTCGAGACCTTCCCTACAACCAGACACTATAATTCAAGCAACTTCCCAGATAAATGATCAACATATATGGGAAAGCACAACTTAAATAATAAATTCTGTAAAGCCACAAAGCATAACACTTTTGCCGGAGATAGCCGTAACCACTAAGGCGATTTATGTTGGTGAATTACAATCCTACTTTGCACGCAATATGTATATATTTGGATGAGCTGAACACTGTAATCACAAAAATGAACTATTTAAGCTGAATACCTTAAAGATACAAAACTAGTAGAGGCCCAGACCAGTTGAGGATATTCCCTTCAGTCTAGCAAAGCATGAGGGTTACAATAATAAGCAAACGACAAAAGCAACCGTGACCTCGTAAGCTGATGTACTAACAAATACTATTTATACTAGCAGAGCTCTTATTGTTTAAATAGATAACTGAAGGTGAATTTTCCTTACCACTTGTATTACATTACTATTTCAGCTTATGTGCCTTCGCCATGGCTGCCAAGCATATGGAATGGACTCGACCGAAAATAGTGAACGAGAACTGCATACATATTCATAAAGGGTGGTATCCTATTCAACAAACAGTATCTACTAACATAATTAAAAACTCATTCTACTCTGATGGATTTAAGCATAAGATAACATTGCTGACTGGACCGAACGGAAGTGGAAAAAGCATCTACATGAAAAATGTAAGTAAATCTACGAGTGACTATGGACCTTGATTACATTCCTGAAACGTAGACTGTCACCGAAAATAGAAAGTTCAATTACGAATGTTGACTGCATTTTGACTTACTGTTTCCAATTTTCCCTAACAATGTAATTCCCATAAGTGAAGAGCCAATAATTGTGCTGCTGAAAGATACAGGGTCCCTGGGGAGTATGCCACAATTATTTTTAGTGTTGAGGTATCATCAGGGTGAGCCGTGAAGCTGACCATGCGACAGAATAACGTAAGTCATAGATGATGAGCAAACTGAACTCTGTTCACGAAGCAATAGTTAAATGATTGTTTCAACAACTCTACAAGTAATCCCTCGCGGTACTTGGTGCTCGATTGAGTAACAGTTTGATATTAAAGAAACTTCATTCGTGCTAAATGATACGCCATTGGAATCTTCATTACTCGGTGATGATTTTACAGGATTTGGATTTTCTCTTCAAGTTACAGACATGAACCGACAGTGTAGTTGTAGTTTATCTCCGAACTTCCTATGCTTCGAAACAGCGAAACATGGCCCTTAAGAGTAGAAGACACCCGAAAGCTACTAGTATTTGACCACAGATGCCTTAGAAATATTGCTGGCATCTGCTGGGATCACCGGGTAAGTAATAGTGAGGTTAGACGCAGGGTATTAGGGAATGATGGTAAATCAGTTGATGAGGTTATGAATCTTCATCGACTGAGATGGTTGGGCCACGTATCACGTATGCCTGAACACCGATTACCGCGATGTGCAATGCTAACCGGTGTTCGGGATGGTTGGAAGAAAGTTAGGGGCGGCCAAACCAAAACGTGGCATCAGTGCCTGAAGTCACTAACTTCTAGTCTGAGCCATGTTGGTAGATGCAAACTACTTGGTTGGGGTCCGCGTGGCTATCCTAACCAATGGTTGGAGACCCTTGGTGACATGGCTCAGAATCGATCACAATGGCGTCGGTGTATACACTCTCTGTCTTCTCTTAAACTAAGAGATTAAGATCACTTCACATCTTTCTTTCTATGAACTAATTCTTTCTTCCTATACTATATCCTTATTGCAATCTTTCTCCTATATATTACCACCTTTGACCTAACCACTCCTATGAATTCGGTGTTCATCTTGCTGTGCTAATGAGGTATGGCAACCTGGGCCGTTGCATACATGTGCCTGGTCCTACGTTGTAGCTGACTGACTGATGCTTCGAATGAAATCTTTTAAAAATCACTAAATCAAAGAGTTTTGGACCAAAATATTCCGAAATTTAGTGATGCGACCACAAACGTAACTAATTGCAATACGTGTTGGAGTATCAAGTGGGGCCTTTTGTGTATCAACGCTAGTTATTATTAGATGTAATATAAGGTTGGGAGTTACAAGTTTTCGTACCTTAATATCCTAGTGAGGACTTAAGCACTTATTTACCGAGGTAAAGTACACTGCTAGCAAATATATGGGCATAAAAATATACTTGCCTAGCATGTTTACGCTTTTTTGTTTACTTGTAGATCGCCTTAATAATTTACTTAACGCACATAGGAAGCTATATTCCGGCTGAAGGGGCAACAATTTCTGCGTTTGATGCAATACATATACTCACAGGTACAAACTCTACTGAAAGAGATAACTGTTCGACCTATATGATGGCACTTCAAATGGCCTCAGTTGCTTTAAGAAACTTAACAAGTAAAACTTTAATAATAATGGACGAGTTTGCAAAGTCCGTAAACAAGGTAAGTCTAACACCTAAAAACTACTACGGGAAGATGAGTTAGAGAAAGATAGGAATTATGTTTAACTAAAGTTTGGTAAAACTACTAATACAGGTTTGTTTGGTTATGGTGTAGTTAAAACGCCACACAAATGTTTACATCAATGCATGTGGGAGTTCTAGTCCGCGATATGCAGTGATGTAAATTTAAACTATTAATACCAAACTCTTATAAATCAAGAAACTTGACTACAATACCTAACAAACGGGATGCTAGGAAATCCACAAAATGCTATATATATAGTGAATAAAAATGAGTATTCCTGATGTTTGACAAGAGCATAGCATAAGACAACCCATAGAACCATGTGCAACAAATCTAATTATCACGATATAATTACTGCTAAATACCTTAAACATGTAATACTCCTATAACCATATATTGTAACCAAATTTTCATTTTTTTCAGTTAGAGTTAGATGCGCTTACAATCGCTATGGCAGAATTCCTATTGCTGAAAAATGAATGTCCGTATACCATCATAGCTACCCACAACCATACAATACTAAGGCAACTCCAAATGTATGGACCGCAAGTGCAATACCTGGTAAGTTTTCAGCTTGAGAAACATTTTGATGTTCTTAACACAAGACAATGAGGACAGTCCCTCACGAAGGAAGAGTGGTGTGTCTTTATGAAGCAGTCAATGGCTTGAACCTAAGAAGCGAGGCAATTAGTACAGCGCATGCTACAGGACTCCCGAAGAAAATTACTGAAAGAGCATTAACTCTGAAGGATTTTTTGAGTACAATACCCACTCATCGTATGAAGAACAGAAATAAAAAGTAGTTCTTCGCCTGATTTAACTTATTTTACAGGGTGAAGACGGTCTTGAAGCTAGTTTATGGAACAGACACGGGTGGCAGTGAGATGACGCTAGACAAAATCTTTAACTCTGAATTTTATGAATTTCTAGAAAGTCTAGACTACTGTAAAAGTGAAGGTCGGGAACCAGATAAATAAAGAAGTTTTGAAGAGATGATTGTTGTTATTTTTTCTGCTATCGAATTTTAGGAAATACGAAAATAAAGTTTTCAAACCTTAACGAAGTAAGAAAAACCTGTAGTGCTACTGACGGCCGACATATGCATCCATTGCAAAGAAAACAAATATTCACAAAAATAACAATGATAATCATAGTCAGGGGGGATATTGTACAGGGGTAGTGAATAATTTCAACTATGAAACGAAAGAATAAAAGGATGCTCTAATGCTCTGGAACAGGTAATTCGTTCTGACGGAATGTACACCAACATCTCTTTTACAAGATCGAAAGCCAGGCGCTTGTAAAGGTCAGAATTAGAAAACCAGTAGTCACCAAGAGGTTTCAGAACTCTCCTAACGTAACGAGACTCTGAAGAAGCAGGAGACCAATCTAACCGACCATGGCGAAAATATCGTCGTCGACGGGACACCTTTGTCATACATTTTGGGAGAGTCCCTAGTAAACGTTCCATCATAGCTAGGTGCTCAAGGTTATCATGTGTCATGAATAAACATTGTCCTGTCACCAATTCATACAAAATACATCCTATAGACCATACATCAGCAGATCGATCCCATCCAAGCTCCATAACAACTTCAGGAGCACGATAATGCCGTGTCTGTATGGTAGTCGAGTGGTGATCTTCATCGAAAGTGGCTGATCCGAAGTCTATAAGCTTTATGGATGGATTACGGATTCGCCGTACTGTCCTGCCACGATGGTTGACATAAACTTCGTCGTAAGTACCATCAACAAATAAAATATTCTCAGGTTTTAAATCTGTGTGTGTGAGCTTATTTCGATGCAAAAAGGCAACAGCCTCACACAACTGTCGGATAATTATTGCACATTGTTCAATGGTGTACGGTTCATAGTCATTTTTTTCAAGAAATGTAAAAACACTTGGACCAAGTAGAGGAAATACAATATAGAAGTGTTCATGCCATTCGAAGAAATCTATAGATGATATGCAATGGGATCGATCTTTGGCATCTAATCTTGCAATAGTTTCTAAAACATTAACCTCGTGACGCGCAGCATCACTATAATCACTCTGAGGTTTAAGAGCCTTGACAGCAGTCAACGAATTTGTGTACAAGTCAAAACATTCAAAAACTTGCCCATAGCTACCCTCTCCTAGTATCTTCTCCACTCGAAAGCGTCGCTTGATAGTGTCACCGACCGGTACAATAGCAGATGGTTTGCGTTTGTGGTGCTCATGACTAGCTTTCCTTCGTGCTTTTTCATCGCGACGCTTTTCTTCTCTCTTCCGACGTGCTATTTGCTTGTCATCTCTGTCAGGGAGTCTCGGAGAACCAGGAAATTGCCCATTATGTAAGTGAACGCGCATTGAATGCCCATCATGGATTTCGATACTTGGACTACGCTGCCGTTCTCGCTTAGTTGGATGGTGAGGCGGAGGTTTGGTAGCATGACTAGGAGCGATGCCACTGCAGGAGGAACTGTTAGAACGGTCTCGAGGACGGCCCTTATCACCAGAGATACGTACTGCCTTACATGTGCTCGTTGTATGATTGAAATTAGGAACTGATACATGGGAACTATGATTCCGCCTGAACCAACGGGGATAAAAACAATCACAGACTCAGTGACACGAAAGAAATAAAAACAAGACTATTCAAAATCAAAAGTTTATATGTGTACCTTTTACTACGTTCTGAAACACGACGTCTTTTAGGGTCTGAACAACCATAACCAGAGGATGCTTTTTCGGATGTGCTGGACCGTTTTCGATGACCAGCTGATGAAGAAGAAGTGGAACAAACAGAATCCGATACATATCTAGTTTCTTTGTTTCTAAACAGGGAATTGAAGCAACAACGATGATTGCTTTTAGAACGCCAACCACGGCTAGTAGACTCTCCTCGTCTCAGGACCATCATCAATTAGGGCGCACTTCCACTTACTGCCAACAATATGGGTACCGTACTGATGTAAACAAACAGAGTAGAATACTAAACAGTTAAGACTGCAAAGTTTTTGAGCACCTTTGAAGCGCATCGGTCATTCTTATTTCAAAAATACAAACCTCTCTAGACATTTTTTAAGAAAGGTTTGAGGACAAAGTATAAGATTATATGATTAAAAGAATAAAAGTTATCGAGAGTGCGATACTATTTTATTTTGAAGCGGTAAGGAAATATAAGCCTAATATAGTTACATGAACTAGCGATGTATTCTGAAATGTCTCCAAACAACTATCAGCAAGCGATTGTGGACGCTCCATCCCATCCCCACACCTAATCTTATCGTCATTTCAAGATCTGTGAAGTATTCTGGATTCTTGAACTCTGTTATATGCTGATGAAATTAGTGTAAAGAAAGTAGTACAAGAACCTTCGGGTATATTGACTGTGCAAGATAGCTTGAATATGACAGATGATTACGCGATCAGGTACTGTCTCTTTAATAATAACAGTATAAAGAGGATGAAGATGTTAAACAGAAGTGATGCATCTACCTTATGCTCCCTGGATGATTCCAGTCCACAATTTCTTCTAAGTGAGCTTGAGTGTTACTTTATTTGGTGCCGAGCGTGACGAACGTCAAACATATTGTTTCGTGTTGAAAAAATTATGAATGGATTACCTCCAGGCGGTATGGTTTAGTCCTTAGTTCGGTTCCCTTTTAAGCTGTTTTTCTGTAAATCGTATAATGATCCCAGTCTCAGTGACTGAGTATTTCTTGTCGACTTCAGAATATCGATGAAAATAAATATCTCGAGAATCAGACGAAGTGATACTCAAGCCCACTTAGAGTAAATTGTAGACTGGAATCATCCAGGGAGCATAAGGTAGATGCATCACTTCTGTTTAACATCTTCATCCTCTTTATACTGTTATTATTAAAGAGACAGTACCTGATCGCGTAATCATCTGTCATATTCAAGCTATCTTGCACAGTCAATATACCCGAAGGTTCTTGTACTACTTTCTTTACACTAATTTCATCAGCATATAACAGAGTTCGAGAATGCAGAATACTTCACAGACCTTGAAATGACGATAAGATTAGGTGTGGGGATGGGATGGAGCGTCCACAATCGCTTGATGATGGTTGCCCGAACCGTTTCGGTATAAAGTAAACCTCAATTTTAATGTGTAGTTTCGTAGTCGAATTTTGATTTCACTGATCACTTAGCAACCACTCAGCTAATAAATATCGTATATTTGTAGTGAACGGAAACGAACGCGAGGAAAATCGAGTGTAATTGAACACAATATTACAAAATCTCATAGTAAAATCCGAGAACCTTACAGTAAATACTTCGTTTGCAAAATATCAGTTAATCGTGCTAGACTTCATTGTTCTTTCGTTTCCTAGTCAGTCATTTTTTGTTTTCGTTCTCTTTTCTTCGATCTTCTCAACCTTCTGTCTCCAGGTATTTCACTTTTGACTGACGATACGCACTACTTACATCTATCGACATCAGTAACACGCAGCACATACCAATCTGAAATTTGGAGTTAATGAAAAATAACGGCACTGCTGACGTTCCAACTACAGTCTTGTTTCAAAAAGCACAGAAGTCTGCGAAAACTAAAAACCATTTACTACAAAAAGTCTAAGGATAGTGATTTGAATACTTACTATTTCACTTATTTGATATACCCTGAGCTAATAATAGTAACATAGAGAGTTTTTACAAGCTGTTTAACCGTCGAAAACGTGCATCATTTCATGTAGATCCAGTAGCCAAACATCGTAGCATTTCCCAGCAACTCATTACAAAAAATTCATATCCAGAATATATACCTCTCTTTTACCAGTAAAAGTGTAGCAGAATGCCATTCGATCAACGGTATTTTTGAAATTCGGTTAATGCAAGATGGGTTGACTAATATTTTAGCTAAGATCTGGGAATTAGACGTTATCCCATCTAACTGGTCACAATCACCTATCGTCCCAATATATAAGAAAGGGTTAAAATCATCCTGTGACAACCACAGAGGGATTAGTTTAACTAATATAATATCTAAAACACTAGCTTCGATAATTATCAGGCGCCTAACTAAGGCTCGTGAACTGCAAACGCGAGAGACTCAAGCTGGCTTCAGACCTGGTTGTGGCTGCATCGACCACATATTCACCATTCGTCAGATTCTAGAACACAGGCATACTTATCGGCGTCCGACAATGTTGGCCTTTCTTGACTTAAAAGCAGCATTTGACGCAGTAGACCGCGAAATTCTGTGGCAGTGTCTGTCATTGAAAGGCGTACCTCAGAAGTACATAAACCTTGTAAAGGCTCTTTACTCGAACACTACTAGTCGAGTCAGAGCTTATGGCGAACTGTCATCTGCTTTTGCAACCTCAAGTGGTGTCCGTCAAGGCTGTCCACTTTCTCCATTTTTGTTTAACTTCATCATAGATCTACTGATGGAAATAACATTCTCGTCGACTGAATTATCGGGTATTGATCTCCATCCAGAAAGTCCACTTATCGACTTAGAATACGCAGATGACATAGTCAGTTCGTTCTGTTTTACTTTATGACTGCGAAACATGGCAATTGAGAGTAGAAGACACTCGTAAGCTACTAGTATTTGATCACAGATGCCTTAGAAATATTGCTGGCGTCTGCTGGGATCACCGGGTAAGTAATAGTGAGGTTCGACGTAAGGTATTAGGGAATGATGGTAAATCAGTTGATGAGGTTATGAATCTTCATCGACTGAGATGGTTGGGCCACGTATTACGTATGCGCGAACACCGATTACCACGACGTGCAATGCTTACCGGCGTTCGGAATGGTTGGAAGAAAGTTAGGGTCGGTCAAACCAAAACGTGGCATCAGTGCTTGAAGTCACTGACTTCTTGTTTGAGCCATGTTGGTAGGTGTAGACTACTTGGTTGGGGTTCGCGTGACTATCTTAAGCAATGGTTGGAGACTCTGTTGGACAAGGATCAGAATCGATCACAATGGCGTCGGTGTATACACTCTCTGTCTTCCCTTAAAATAAGAGAATAAAATCACCTCATATCTTTGTTTCTACGAACCAATTCTTTCTTCTTGTACTATATCTCTATATGTAATCTTCCTCTTATTTATTACCACCTTTGACCTAACCACTGCTATGAATCCGGTGTTCATCTTGTTGTGCTGATGCGGTATGACAACCTGGACCGATGCACATATGTGCCTGGTCCTACGTTGTAGCTGACTGACTGACTGACTGTATTCCTTTGAAAATTCGGGAAAGTGTGGTTCAAATTCAGGCCATTATTGCTTACAAATCACGATACCAACAGATCCAGCTACAATTCACACCGACACAACGTGGGTAGCAGAATTTGACGACAATTAGCAGGAGATTCAAAACATTGTCAACCGCAAATATTGCGTGTACTATTATACAAAGAGAAGAAAACTGTATTTATAGTTCAGCCGCCATAACACGTAAGAAGTTGTCAGGAAGGTTGTAGTTTGTTCTTGGAGTATGCTGTACAGTTCTAAAACGTACTTCTGCAGATATAACTATATTTTTAACAATATTCATTTTCACGTTGTTGGTACTGAGGACTACGAATTTACAATCTCTACTGACATTTATGGATTTTCTTTTGGTTATAAGTTTTATCAAGGTTGTATCGTACCTAAATGTGGAACACTAAGTACGCCTTTAATCCTATTTTGGTCTGCTCAACCTCTCAACCTTGGCTCCTCTGAAGAAAAGCGATCAAGCCATGCTAGCCTACATTTTTATCAGCAAAACTGAGCTAGGACATTCTACCGAAATCAGGCACTGAAATTTCAAATGGTTGAATGTGTCAGCTTTACATGACAATGTACAGTACGTGAACTGAGAATTTCATCCTCAACTTCATATGGATGCTCATGGGGATTTCTTACTTCACAGAATCTTATGAGCTACAAAGCAGTCTGTTAAGTTAATGGTCTTCGAAATCTACAAGCAACATACAGTCATCAATAATCACACTTTTTATTTGCTAAGCTGCAAAAGGATCTACTGGGTGGGATACAAATGAACTGATAATAACAGCGCATACAGTCAAATCAAGTAAGTAAGAAATATATGCACTTAGGCAATGAGAGAAGACAGGCTTCAATATGATAATTTGGAGTATTTGGATTATGGTATAAACTAGGAACCCCAGAAATAACGCAATTTTATCAAGAAGTACTAGATAAGCACGAACGAATGTACTGTATTTGGAATTCTAAATTAAGCATTCAACAAGTACAAGGGAATCACTAGTTCATTCAAACACCACATTCAGCACCAGATAAAGCTTGTTGATGCAGTGAACCTTCAAGCTACCGACAGGTAGAACGTCTCTCAGTCCCTTCAAAGATTATGGGGTTCCTGATATTCGAATTTCAAAACGATTACTTACTATCCATAAACTTCTTTTCAGCCCAACAGCAAGGTTTGAGGAAAAGTCACTCTTGTGTTATCAGCATGCTGACTGAGGTGGATAGATGGACAACCGTCTTTGATCGCAAGGGTAAGTTTGGTGTTATATACCTTGGCTTCTCAAAGGCTTTCGACAGGGTCAATCATATGTGCCTTATCAATAAGCTCAAACAACTAGGTACCGAATCACTAATAATTGATCAACTGAATCCATATTTAAACAACCGAAATTTCAAGGACAGGGTTACAGTTTGTTTTCCTCAGGCTAAGGAATATCCTAGTGGGATCCCCCAGAGTTCAGTACTAGGACCCCTTATTTACTCGATTTATGTAATCGATCTTCCACAGCAAGTATCATCAGACTTATTACTTTTACTGAAGATGTAAAGCTTTGGTGAGAGATATACAACCAGAAGGATAAACTGGCACTTCAGGAGGATCTGACTCGACTTCAATGTTGGACAGATGACACTGGACTTACCTTTAACACTTCAAAGTGTAAAGTAGTCCATCTGAGACATGTTAAAGACTACAGCTACAAATTAGGCAACTCCCCTCTAGAAGTAATCAAGTTGAAAAAGACTTAGGAATGCTGGTACCCTACGATTTGAAGTTTTACGCTAACTGTCACAAAGATGCCTTTCGAGCGAACCTTGCATTGATGATATTGAAGAGCAT